TTTTTTGGGATTTCCCTCGCTGATCCCTCGCTGATCTGCGAGGGATCAGCGAGGGAAATACCAAAAAAAACTTTCCCTCGCTGATAATTCCCTCGCAAATCCGTCGCTGATAATTCCCTCGCAAATCCGTCGCTGATATTTCCCTCGCAAATCCGTCGCTGATCCGTCGGTAATTACATCCGTCGCTGAAAGTGTCCGTCGCAAATCCGTCGCTGATTTCCGTCGCTGATCCGTAGCTGATAGCATTACCTACGACTGTTTGACCGACGGAGTATCAGCGACTGATCAGCGACGGACAAGCGACGGACAACCCTTTCAGCGACGGATCAGCGAGGGAAATTTCCCTCGCTGATACCCAGCAGTTTTGTAGTGTATGTCAATTTGAATGATACCGAAACTTTACTACCGGGTCTCCTCCCCCAATCACAAATTCATAAACATTAGAGATAGAAAATCAATATTAAAAAAATAACAATATTAATAATAAGTTAACACAAAATAATGAGATTTTATGATTTTGTATCCCCCAATTAATGATATAAGAGTTATATAAAAAAGAAAATTACATATGTATAATTGTCATTAAATTCTAAGATGAATATGAACCTAATACTAAGATGTAATGTGATTGGTTGAAAATGGTTAACAAAGTTAACACAATAGTTGGGTTAACATTTGAACCAAACGCTCTCTCTCTCTCTCTCTATATATATATAAATATATATATATATATATGTGTGTGTGTGTGTGTATGTAGGTGAAGGTTCAAACAAGAACCTCTGTGATTTACGAGAACAACCTACTAACCTCAATTTTTTAATTACTAATTTAAATTATATTAAATACAAATAAATCAATAAGGCCAATAATGTAATTAGATATTTTTTATAATTTGTATTTTATTTTAATTAATTAGAATTATCCCATCAGTTTTGTTTGGGATTGGTCACGTTCAACTGATCGATTCTATTAGGTGTGATTATCACATCCCAATGTAGTCGAACCCAAATTTGATTCGTATTTTTGTGAAAATCGGTTCCTAGTTGATTCATTGTTGCATTATCACATGATTATCACACCCAATGTAGTCGAATCCAAATATGAACTGTCTCATGTGAAACTTGGTTCGTAGTTGATACCTCGTTGCATGATCACATGATTATTACACCCAAATCAAGGAATCAATCTAACCCTAGCCGAACCAATCGATTATCACACCAAATCGTGATAAACATGTGATAATCGCTAAACTTGAGTTCGACCGCACTCTGATCGATTCAATTAGGTGTGATTATCACACACAAATCGAATTGATCACATCGATTAGGTGTGTTTATCGTATTTTTTCTGAAAATTGGTTCCTAGTTGATTCATTATTGCATTATCACATGATTATCACACCAAAATTGAATTGATCAAAGGGCATACACTAACCCTAGCCTAACCTATCAATGTTAGTGATGAGCATACCTTGTTTCTCTGCAATCTTCTCCTTGAATCTTGTTCGATCTCATCCTCCAAGATTATCACATCTTCTTCCTTGGTTGTCTCCTAGATTACCGATAAACAACCCATGATATTATTAGTTGTCGGATGATCAGAGTTTATGATCGTGTTTTTTAAATTTTATCGCTTTGAATCCCAAGATTATCTTTTCCCACTCAAAACTTTTTGCATTATTTTTAATATCATTCTAAATTTAAAAAAATCTTTTAATTTTCATTGTTATCATAATATTAGGTTAATAGGTTGTTCTCGCATTCTCGTAAATTACATGGGTTCTCATTTGAACCATTCCCTATATATATATATATATATATATATATATATATATGGTTTTAGCTTAGATATTTCCATTTTCTCAATCACATAGTAGCAAACCATACAAGACAACCTCCAAACCACTAAATCCATGGTGAGAATTCTTTGATAGCCTACAACCAAGAACTCATAAGTGGCTACAAATTCCAATAGTTACTGATGTGGAACAAGGTGTTACAATACCAATAATGTATTAGTTAACACAAAATGGTGTGTTACATTGTGGTAAAAAAGAATGTGGTTTCATGTGTTACCCAAAAGATTATGGTTTTATGTGGTAATTTAGGAATGTAAAATCAAAATTAATTGTAAGTTTGAAACGTATGAAATTAATAAATAAATATTTAATCTAAATTTAGTAATTTACTAACATGACCTTTTACATTAATTTAAAAAGAATAATTAATATATTAAAATGATTGGTTGAGATTGGATCTCACGGTTACCATAAACAAAACAGTTCTCATTTGATTAAGCCCATATATATTAGGTTCGATCCCGTATATTACACATGGTAATTTGAAAAACTAAATCATGTTAGGAACTTATCTTACAGATATGAGTGATCATCGAAAGTACGATGCTACTTCAGACTTGTACTCTTGAAATAACTCTAAAAAATGACTCTTCGGACTTGAATTTAGATATGAATCTATATCAATAATTAGTTAAAGTGAAG